TCCTCCTCCTCCTTCTTCTTCTTTTTCTTCTTCTCCTCTTCCTCCTCATAATTCTCCTCCCTTTCTTCGTTCCGAGCCGCCGGCCGAGATTTGTGTCTTTTACTCTGAAAGATGCCGCTCGCTTGAACTCGACCGGTCTTCCTCGAAGATTCCTCGGGCTTTCCAGCAACGGCGCTCACGACATGCCGACCGGAACTCGACTCTTCCAAGCGCTGCCTACCCTTCCTGGGCGCGTGCCTACGCGTATGCTCCCCGTCCTTGTCGTCCGTTCCCTCGGTCTTGACGCGCCAGTCCATCTTCCAGGGCCCGTACTTGGGCCTCCGAGCGCCCTTGGACTCGCCAAAGTTGAGCGAGTAGTGGGACGTTATCCTCTTTCGTGGCACGCTCTTGTATTTGCCCGGGTGGTATCCGCTCGGGCCAAGCGGGCCGAGCCTACCAACGCCCTTTGCCCCCTCGAGACCGAGGTCGGCCTCGTTCTCCGCGCTCTCGGCCACGATCCCATCTACACCTCCCGTCAGCACCTTATCGTCGTAGCCTCCCTCGTCCACCTCGTCTTCCATCTCCTCGCGCTCCTCCTTGTACTGCTTGCGCTGCATCACACGTGAGTTGGTCCTGTGGCGGATGCGCGGGTCGTAGCCCCGAGCACCGAGCGGATGGTAGGGCACACGATAGCGATACCAGGGCTCGTATCTGCGGTGCTTGGCGGCATTGCGGTTCGAGGAGTAGAGCCAGCCGGGACGCCTCTGGAGAGCCTCCTCGTAGTCGGCATACTCCTCGTAATCGAGGTCGCCGGGCCGAGCGACCCCGAGCTCGTAATCGTCCTCGTGGCCGTGACTGCCGTTGGGGTCTATGGGACCAGCCCGCCACTTGGATACGGCCTCGGGCCAGTGGTGGCTCAGAAGATCGTGCCTGTGCCGGTGTCTATGGTGATGCTCGAGCTCCGGGGCCGTTAGTTTGCGCGCCTCAACGTGAATGAGGAGCGCCGAGAGGAGGACAAGGCCCAGTGAGACGAGCACGCTCGCTTTCCTTGGGAACATTTTAGCGGCGAAGGTTGCGTGGCTCGGGTAGTAGTTAGCTTGGGAGCATCCGAGTCGGGCCGGCCGTTTACGCTCGACGCTCGTCTCGTGCGATCTCGCGCGCTCTAGCCGTTCGCCTGGGCTGCCTGTTCGGGAGGTCTGCCGGGAGGATCCGGACTTTTACATCGCGAAATTACGGCTCTCCTGGCCGATCGCCCGGCTCCTCAGTAGTCCACGGACTCGCTGCACCGCCCGCAGTGGAGCATCGTTCTCTCGAGACCGCGTGCGCGCTCGTCCGATCGGGACGGCCGGGGCATTTACGCTCGAAGCTGCGCGGACGGCCGGGGCGCGGCCGTGGGCCTTCCCCGCGTAAGCACTCTGCCGGGAAAGAACGCGGGGTAGAAACGCGCGCGTTCACCATTCACTGAAACCGATGTCGTAGCACTGCGTTGCCGGACGGTTGCTCGGCGAGAGGATGTTAATGAGGACAGGGTGGGGTGGCGGGAGGGGGTGGGGAGGCAAGAACGGGGGCAGATAGACAGACCGTGAGTAAGGGTGGAAGAGTAACGGTGGAGGTGGCCCACCGTGGTAGGTGACCAGGGCACAGGGGAGGTAGCCGGCTTGTGGTACCCGCGAGTCCTTGGACGTTGCAACCGTCGATCAAAAGAGTATCGCGCGCGCCGAAGGTGTCGCGGACGACTGAGCCGACGTCGACTGCTGAGTCGACCGCGGAGCTTAGTTCAGTGGCGGTTGGCGGTGGATAGCCGGCACTGCCAGCGGGACCAGACAACAGGCGCATGCGTGCAGCGGCTCTCTTCGTTAACGCGCTTCCCCCGCTTCTCTCGTACTCGCTCGCTCACTCAATCTCTCTGCTCTCTGCTCTTTGCTCTCTGCTGTCTCTCTCTCTCTCTCTCTCTCTCCTCTCTCTCTCTCTCTCTCTCTCTCTTCTCTCTCTATCTCTCTGCTCTCTATCTCACTGCTCACCCTATCTCTCTGCGCACGCGTTTCTCTCTCTCTCTCTCTGCTCTCTATCTCACTGCTCACCCTATCTCTCTGCGCACGCGTTTCTCTCTCTCTCTCTCTCTCTCATCGCCATCTCCTTGCCTCTCTTCATTCCGAGCTTATTGCCATGCGAAAGATTTTACCGTCTGTAGTATGGACGTAGAAGAACAGAGGAGTACAGTGGGCTCTGGCCAAAAGTTATAGATTTTATCCTTCGATGACGTTAAATTCACACGTTATGGAATTGAAATTATTGAAATGCGCGTCAATATGGAAAATGTAGGGCTTTTCAAAACTTAATCAAAACAAAATTTTGATAATAACGAAGGCTTATTGGTAATTTTTTGTTCCGGTGAAATTGCGTTCGCCCCTCTTCCTCTGACACGAATGTCGTGCGTATGAAATTTATTTTAATTCATTACAACAGGCTCGCCGCGTGATGGATTAATTAGTTGGTAAGGATAATTAACAAACCCGGATCCCTTACGTAAATGTCGAAAAATTTCAATAATTATTTAAAAGTCAATGTGCGATAGATTAACAACAAATTTCTTTCGCTCAAATTTGATTCAATGTACAATCGCAGGTTCACGATAATTAATCTTACTTTACAAAATCTTAAATCACTAAAACTTTCAGTCCATTTGAGATTTAATCAAACGTATCCGATCCAATAAAATTATCCGCATATGACGTAACAGTTTGGGTATCGTCATAAAAAATTTCATTCTTTTTAATTAGAAATTCATTCGCAGCTCTTATGATATATCATGGCTCAATTTATTATAAAATTCTATTTCTAAAATCAATTCAATTATAAGAAAATAGATTAGTTCTTTGTTTATTTGTGATGTGTCGTGCAATAAAAAGTAAATTGGACAGGTTGTAACAATTACAAATCAGTGTTTATCGTAATAAACTGGCTTTCTACGAAAGTCCTGAGTTTTTTTCAGATCTCACCAAGTAGCTTTTATTGCCAAGGTTGTGCAAGTATTTGTAATTTTTTATTTTTAATTTTATTAATAGACTTGTATGTTCGAGTACTATGTCGGTGAAAGGTATTGAAATCTATAAAGGAAACTGTCATCCTTATAATTCATTAATAACAAGCATTTTTATAACTGCAATTAATAAAAGTAATGTTTGTTAAATGTTTGTAAATAGATATTAACAATATATCTGTTATATGAAATTAAGCTTTTCTCCGTATTCGTATTTATGTATTTATTTCTCACGAATTTCACTTATCATTGTAATTTACTAAATTTTTTATTTACACAAAAATATCTTTCTTTACGTAAATAGAATTTCAAAACACATAAAATTATTATCGTTTAAAATTATAATTTTATCAAAGATATATATATATTTTACAGAAGTATAAATAGCCGTAGAGTTTCATTTAACATTCATACAAGTATTTATCATAAAATTTTATTGAATTGGAAATTCTTTACGTCGAGTTAATAAATTATATAATAAAATGTGCATAATCCTTGAGGCTAGATAATTCATAATAAATTATAATACAAACAATTGTATTACTCTCGAATACTATGATGTTTAAATTATTTATTATTTATAATTAAGATTTAAATTTTTTTTTTTTTTTTTTTTTTTTTTTTTTCTATATCTTTTACCATTACTAGAGATATTTGATAGAGAAATACTTAGATGACTGTCGTACCTTAAATTTTATGTTTATATTTATAATAAAGTTGTTATTATACGCCCAGGCTATTTTTAATTACCTTTATTTAATTGTCCGCCTAATTATTTTCCTATATAATATACGCCCAGGCTATTTTTAATTACCTTTATTTAATTGTCCGCCGTATAATTATATTCCTAATAATTTATATTTGTATATTCATAGTGTTGAATCATTTCTTCCCCCCATCCTCACAATATACTATATTTGTAAAACTATCTAATTACCACTTACCATCGTCCGCATCTTATTATTTTTATTTTAATTATCACGATGTGTAAGAAATGAGATTAATATATGCAATTTGTACGAGTGAAAGAAACTGTAATTGCCGTCGTCTTAATGTTGTCAACTACAGTCACGATATTTGTACTGTGATTTACTGGATTTGCTTTGATGTGATAATTGTCTTTCAACGCAGGAATACGATAACTAGTAAATGACAATGAGAATTGATGGTCTTACATTTTTTAATGGTTACAAAATCCCTATGTAATCGAGTAAAACATGTATACAAATTGTGATATATTTTACAATAAATAGATAAAGCTTAACTAGTCAAATCACAATAGTAATTCACAATTTCGATGTATCATATCTAAATCTTTATTCAGTATTTTAATTGAATTCAAATAATATTCTTACGTTGGATTTACGTTTATATTGTGTTAATGATTTAAATAAGTTATTATGCATTTTTTATGCAGAATAGAAGGTGTAAGAATACCACTCACTATTCGTAAATAAATGAAGCCTTAATTTCTTTACATAAAGGACAAGTTAAGTGAAACGTTACTACTCTAAAGCTCGAGTAATATTAAAAATTGCATAAACTTGTATGCGTGAAAAGAAAACTTTTTCATGGTCCATTAAATAAATGATGTGAGCGTTGCTCATCGTCTTAATCTCTATTCCCAGTTATTCTCAGTTATTGGCTCTGCTTATTGTGTACAATGGACAACCGGGAGTTTAATATTTTCCTAGAGATAAATAAAATTCTTATCGTGGAAAATAGTTGCCTGCTCAATGCAATATTGGACTTAACGATTGGAAAGCAATTTATTGGGCGATAAAAGTAAAGGACGGATATGGAAATGGAGAAGATGTGAAAATAAATTTCCAACGAGGTGGTGAAAAAGAAGAAGCATCGAGCAGTCCGAGCTCGTATCAGCTCCTTCTCCTTTTATTCCATTTCAGATCTTTCGACTTTTTTTCATTCCTCCCTCCCCTCCCCTCCCTATCCCACCCTACTACCCCCCCTCCCCACCCCTCAAATGTGCGAGAACATTTGGTATACGAATTTCTTTGGTCCGTTGGGCTCGAAACACGCGCAACAGTCAGCCGCGGCAAATTATTTCACGCGGCGTTCCCTCCTTTTTTCCATGCCGCCCCATTCACTTTCCGGTCCTGGCCATTCAAGGAGGTTCCGAGATCATCTCGTGCGTGTGTGTCGTCGCGCGCATCCAAAATAATTCGACGGATGATGCGCGCCTCCGCTTTCCCAGCGCCGTGTTCTGGTAGCAGTCGGAGGAGTCGGAGTTGGCGGAGAAAAAACTGGTTCCTCGGCGGCTTGGGCTCTCGTTGATTTGCGCTGATACGGTAAATGATCGGCTGACTTGCGCCATTGGGAAATGATGCTTTTTTTCTGTACAAGATGCATTTAAATTCAATCGATTTACGGGAGGGGGTCAACGGGATACGAATTTTATGTTAATAAAATGTTGGTCGCGTGAAACGGCGACTGATAAGTGGCTGTCGAAGCCAAATGCTACGTAGTTTTGGTTAGAGGCATTTTCGGCCGGTTTTAGCGCGGCAAATACTTGATTCTCTAATGTTATCGGCTGTTGTTTCTTTGAGAAATCGCGATGGCTTTGCAAAGCTACGATCGACTGCATAAGTAAGTAATACAGGTGAAGTGATAATAAAATGAATTTCAATATGAAAGTTGCGTCGGAGAATTATGTAGACTCGGTTGAAAACTCGTATTGCCCATTAGAAATAATTAATTAATTATCATTATCATACGGCTTTTAAATGAAAAGCGCATGTATAATTTTGAGGCTTATTTCACAAATCTATTCATTACTAAAACCTTTCCGGATACAAACATTAATAGAAATTCCACGCTCCCATGATATAATCGAAATTATTAGAAATTCTCAATTTGAGTGATTTTTTAAATTATATTTTTGAAAATACTAATCTATGGTGCAATACATTGTTTATCGTGTAGAAAATATTTATATGCGTGCCGAGTGAAAATCCAATAAATCTATTTGACTTTATACCCGAACATTTCTTCGGCACT